TATATAGGGTTATATAGGGATATGTTGAGGGGTTGATACACAATCATTTTCAATAGAAGGTCTCGGGCATCCATGAAGCTTCCATAACATGGGGGGAGGTGCCGGGGAACCTGAAAGCTTAAGACTTCAGCCAAGAGCACCCGGAAACCAAGTCCAAGCAACATGATTTTGCTTGAGAAAGCCAGTTCCTCCGCCTCTGGTAAATGCTGGGTCCCCAACAAGGCAAGATTTGCATAACAAGTCCAAAGCCAAACCCCCTGACAAAGATGCATCCTGCAAGAAGTCAGGCAAAATCTCGGTGGGCCGCCAGGGCAAGATGTCGTAAGTCTCCTCATAAGTTTCCTTGGGGCAGGAAATTGACTACTCAGAGGCGTTGGTAAACCATGTATGCCAGTAGCTTGGGCCTCCTGTCTGCAAAGCGGGTTAATTTCACAGAGCGGGGGGCATTGCAGGCCTGTTTTTACACAACCATGACGGTGCGGTATCTTGCTCTTTGCTTTTAGTATTCATAGGAGAGGGGAAGAAAACTTGGGGCTAGGTTAGGGGAGGGGGGGGCTATGACTCGGCCATCATCATCATCATCATCACAAACACCGTCGTCACCAGGATCGTAGAGGTTGTATATGGGTATTTCTATCGACAAGGATCCCCTGTTTGTTGCACTAATGTACTCTAATCCCGGTTGGAAGAGTCCCAAAAAGAGCGCTCAAGTTTTGGAAATCCTAGGCTTTATATATCCCATATGACCACCATATATGACATTATATACCCCATATCATCTCTATTTTACCCCCAAATGGGTTCGAAACCCTATATAGCAAGAGCGGTAATGGCCGCAGCTGGAGGCATAGGTGACATGATTCCAGCATATGAGACATACAAAGCCATTTGCTTTCAAATCCAAGGAGGATTGCTATGCATGTTGAATGTGTGAAAACAACGGAAACAGTACCTCAAGGAATGTGCCCTTGCTTGTGAGTACCTGCAATACTCGCCTGCTTCTCAGGAGGCTGGCTTAGAGACGCCCATCTAAAACTAAAGGTTTGAGAGCAGGTGGCTGTGGGNNCCACCTCTTCTGTTAGGTTTAGGGTCTCATACTGGAGTAGCATTGTGTTTTGGGGCGTCCCTTTCTGGATACCTCGCACACTTACTCATAATAATGCTACTTTGGCGCTTTTTTGCCTGCTTAGGTTTAGGTTTAGGTGACATATGAGAATAATCATTTCTCGACCCACAACCACCACACAGAGTAGTCGAAATGCTTAGTCAGCATGCCCCAAGAATGTTCGAAGGAAAGATGATTAGTCAGCCTTCTGCGTTTTGGCAAGGTGCGTTGTGTAGCGTGGCTTGCACGCGCAGTCTCAAGCCTGAACCCTTTGGTGTAGAACCAAGGTCCACGCGCGTGATGTGTGATGGCTTTCTGCCATTCTTGCGTATCTTGAGATACTTCACCGGGTCAGGTTTTAGCGGCAATTTTGTGCCGTACCTCTGATACTTTTTGTACCTTTTGAGAATGCATTTGCGTAAAACCTCCATCTTGTTGGCATCCACGTCAAGGTCCCCCAGTGAGGACATGATGTACATGTCCATGTCGCTCCCAGGTATGCCACTTCGAGTGCGACCAGAACCGGTTGCTTCCAGATACCAATGACGTCCGAGAGTCCGGCCAACGCAGCTGCAGACCCAGACCAAGACCACGCTTGCAAGATCAAAGCGGGGCTTTAACCCGTCTACCACCTAGAGAGTTGCTGGTGGGAGGCAAATACTGGTTTAAGCTTAAGGTCATGTATTTTTTAAACTTCCATTGCAGCAAGCCAAGGAGCCTGGATGAAAGAGCCCTCCACACGGCGTTTCAGCGTCCTGAGAGCACGCTCGCGCTCAGCGTCAATGTCGTCCAGCAGATCAAGGTTCACAATCTTGAGAAGCTGCCACAAGTTCGCGGGAGGTTCTTTTTTGAGTGGCCAAATGAACTGTTCGCAGCATCGTCTGAAATGCCGGGCGATCGCTCTCAATCTCTCCAGCATCTCATATGCCTCTTTCTTGCTCATCTGCTGCGCATCCTTCATCAAATTCTGGACCATGGCGCCGGCAGCGTCAAGACTCTTCCGATTGTCATCCTCGTACTCCAAGTAGCTGGTAACTGCCTGCCCAAAGGCCATAAAGCGGCAAAATCCAGAGCGGTCCTTCTGGCATCTCAGAACTTCACGCTACTTGTCCCCCTTCTCAACAAGGATGGGCTCGTATAAGATAGACGCACACATGAATATACATGCATACGTACACACACATCTATATAACATCATAAACTTGAGTGGAAGTACCCCAAATAAGGCAGAAGGCTCTTACTGGACTGCTGAGTCGTTCCCATCGCTTCACACATCAGAAGTCAAAGCCAGCTTGCTTCACAACTCCAGATATGCTAGCTTCCCAAAATAGGGGGGACCC